GTAATTTTACATTGCATTTCACCATTTGTAATCATGGTGAGCTTGTGTTTGTGCAGGTTGCACAAACTCAAGCCTGTCAGGGCATCGAGTCCACAGTTTCCCTCACGGGAAAAGGACCGGAGCTAGCGTTCGTTCGTGGGCGCGTTGTGCATCCACCTCCCTGCAGCACATACTCTCCACAGCTTTATCAAGAAACCGTATTACATCTCTCTCCCGCCCTTCGCTGCTCTCTCTCTCCCCCCTTCGCTGCTCTCTCTCCCCTCCGGTACATGGCACCGTAAGACGTAGTGTGGAGTTGCATTAGGTAACGCTGTGGTGGCTGTACTGCTCCAGCCGTCTCCTTTGTGTTTGTTTGTTTCCTCCTGTCTGTGTTGTTTGTGTGTGCGTGGTGGCTGTCACTCCTGGCTCCCGGCTCAACCTCCACTCACCTGCTGCAATCAGCTGTGCACCCTCCCCGACTACACACCTGCTNCAGCCGGTCAGGACATCGAGTCCACAGTTTCCCTCACGGGAAAAGGACCGGAGCTAGCTTTTGTTCAAGGGTGCATTGTGCTGCAGGGAGGTGGATGCACAATGCACCCTTGAACAAAAGCTAGCTCCGGTCCTTTTCCCGTGAGGGAAACTGTGGACTCGATGTCCTGACCGGCTGGAGTTTGTGCAACCTGCACAAGCTCACCATGATTACAAATGGTGAAATGCAATGTAAAATTACCGAAAAAATACCAGCTCACGAAATCACAACCGCTCAAACCAACTACAAACTACCGCGGATTGGGCAGAGAAGGAGTCCGAGAAAGTTGCTCCCCAATGTGACGTAATATGACGCGTTTGACATATGACGTTAAAAAAAAGCAGTTTTTAGTAGCAGAGCTCAAAACGGCTCCTTTTCCTCTGAATTCCTGCTCTTATGTCTTGTAAAACATATCAAATCCTGCATTAACATTTGTAATTGTAATTTTCAGGCAAGGTTAAGCATAAATGTAGTAAAAAACCCTGCAAGTTGCTCTTTAAACATTGATAAGTCAAAAACCGAAGAGTTTAAAAAGCTGAATATTTCAAAAAGTGTAAAATATTTTTAAAGAGTTGAAGGTTTCCCATCGATTCCTGATAAGGCTGAATAGTTTAATATTTGAATGTTTTCTGTAGCTGAAAGTAGGCTGAAGTTATGGATAGCCAAAGTATTGGCTGAAATAATAAGGGGATTAAAGTTTCGAAGAACTATAGTGGAATGCTGTAAACAGCATTCGCACTAATGACTGACCATAGTTCTCTTTTATGGCTTTATCTATAAACAGCTCTGAATAAATTATAGTTGTAGAGAACATGGAAATACAAACACACACTCACACAGAGATACACAAAGAGAATGAACACATTATGCCAGTAGGCATCGCTTGAGCACGATTTGTATTGTCTTGGCGTGTAGCTGAACCCGCCTCCACTGAACATGACAGTTTAATTTTTTCTCCAGTTGACCTTTTCATATGACACATCCACTGATAAGTAGGAAACACACACACACACACACACACACACACACACACACACACACACACACACACACACACACACACACACTCTGAGGAACACTGGTGCATGCAATGCTGGTAAACGAGGGAATGATGAGAAATAGTCCCATTGTTACTTAATATATGAATGCTATTGGACAACTCAAGACCGTACCAGCAGGTAACGGTGTGTCTTCTAACTGAACGAAACACAAGCTGTGTACAATAAATAAATAATAATAAAACATTAATAAACACATGAGTTTATGTAAATATATAAGTCAGAAAATGCTTATTAATTCCATATTTACATTTAACTGCTTCTATTATAATCTTATTGTGTGGATGCTTGCCCCACTGATTGAATGTTCATACCTGCTGAGAGTACACAGAGGGGCTGTTTCTGTGGGGGCTCGTCATGGGAGACACTGCCCCCACCTCATATCGATCTGCATCTGAAAAACAGAAAGGAGAATCAACCCAACATCTTTTTTTAATTTTTTTTTTATTGTTGGTACATCATAGTTGTGGCTTTGTGATCGCAGCCTGTCTGCAGGTGAGTTTCTAATCATACCAGATTCCTTTTCTGAGGAGCCTTCACTCCTCTTGTAGCCGCGCTCCATCTTAATGCTGCGCAGCACTCGCTCCAGAACGCCCTGACCCTCCCTCAGACGCTCTACATCAGTGGGCACCATCCTGGAAATAAACACAAATCCAAAGATTAGCTGCCAGCTCTGACCAGGACCAAACCCTGACCCCCATCACACACACTATAAACAGAGATCATTGTCCAGAGGTGTCCAGAGTTAGTCATTGACAAACACCCGAGTTATTCAAACTTATTTTGACAGAGAAAACAAAGCGAATGGTAAAAGTATAATCCAAACTGTTTTTATGTTGCCATGCTGTCCTGGGCCATGAGGGGCTGAGGTAATCCCCTGACTGCCAATGTGTGTATCAGCCATGTGGCCACACAGTAAGAAACTGTTTCCTTTAGTATGAAATTCAGAAACTTAAGTCATGAGTAGCTTCAGGCTGAACTGTAAACTGAATTTGATGCTTGGTGAACAAATCAAATAAATAACTGCTAAATTAAAAAATTATAATATCTGTATATATAATTTATATATAATCCTCACCACTGGTTGTTGTTGTCCCGGTGTCGGGGGGGGCGTGACGAGCCCTGCTGGTCTGGAGGACTGAGTTCCTCCATCTGCGGGGCAGAGGAGTGGGCTGAGAAGGAGCTGTGTGGGGAGGGCTGCAGGTGCTGGTGATGGGGATGAGGGGGATCCTGGCTGTAGTGGAGGCCGGGGCGGGTTGGGGTCCCACCCAGAGACGAGCTGCTGCCGGCGGGCTCCGAGTCACGGCCGCTGCCCTGCTTCCTCTTACGGTACTCCAGCAGAGACACCTGGTGCAGCAGAGGGGGGGGTTGATGAATGGGTGTGTTGTGCAGGTTTCACACACAGCTGCAGTCACACACACTGATGCTGAAACACCCGATGAAACTGATGATGGGCCCCTTGCATGCACCACACCAGAGCACTCACCTGCTGTTCAACTATTCAATGAGAAAAAGAAAACACAGCGGGATCACCATGGAAATGACACTGTATGCATCTCTGTTTCTGTCCCACACGCACCTGCAGGTCGCTGTGTGTATTCTGAATGTTAGTAACATACAGCTTTGACGCAACAGCAGGCAACTGTAATGCACCACGCCATGATGCAACAACTACACAAACATTCATTTCAATGTCCACAGAAAGTTTGAGCACAAACACACAACGTATACACACACCTACACTGTTAACAATAAGAGCAGTCATCCCAGCTTAATGTCATCATGACAAAGTTGGAATAGAGGGGGGGGTATGAAGAGGCAGGGGGATGCGATGATCGCCTCACATATTGACATGGATGGATCTTTCTGAATCTGTGTATAATATTACACACAGACTGCAGAGTGCGAGGTCAGGGTATGAAACCACCGAGCACCACCTATCACTGACGTCTTCAGTGGACACACTACTGTAGGGATCCTGGTAGGGCTTTTTGAGCAGCTTTTTAAGCAGATATGAATTTAGTGTGCATATGTCCGCCCATGTCAATCAAACCAAACCTATAGTTTTGATGTAAAAATATCTCCAATGACTTGCCTGTTACAGTACCATACAACATAGAATAGGTAGTTACAATTTGAGTTGTAATTGAGAAACAAGTTAATCACACTTATTTTGAAGAGGAAAAAAAAGGGCAAATGGTGAGGAAGAATCCATACTGCCCATTATTCATTTCCTTCACAGTTTACTGACATATGGTCTGTTTTAATGTTGACCAGATGTGCCTGGTAACTAGCTTTCCTGGCTTTTAGAAACATTTGAAGTGCACTTACTTTTAGCTTTACCCAAATATAATTCAAATAATAAATATTTTTTGATTATTTTCCACATGTCTGATCCAATGATCTGCCATGTGGCCACATAGTTTCATCTCAGCATTTACTGTGGGGTGAACTAGGTTATTATAGCTGATAGAACCAGTTAGGCCTGGAATTGGTATTCAAATTGTAATGACCATAGTTTGTATTTGAAGACTTCAAATGTATTTGTCTGCTGTCTGGATGACCCAACTCTGGCTAAAGTCACTTTAAGCTCTTTTAATGCATAGTGGGCAACATTTTCTAAAATGCAACTATGCATCTGACCTTATTATAACTTATTTGACTGGTCTAAATGTCGCAGAGCATTTGATTATATACATAAAAGTAAAGTTGAAAAATGTATATTCATTATTTTAGCTGGTGAACATATATGCAAATCAATTGTAACTGCATGGCTAATTCAGAATTGAAATATTGTAGACTTTGACGATGATGAGTTCTAGGCCACATGCAGTCAACCATTGGTTTGTGTCCTCAGTTACAGGACAGTGTGTGTGTGTGTGTGTGTGTGTGTGTGTGTGTGTGTGTGTGTGTGTGTGTGTGTGTGTGTGTGTGTGTGTGTGTGTGTGTGTGTGTGTGTGTGTGTGTCCAGCTGCATAAAGATTTCAGCTCAGTGTAATGTTACAGTGAAGACTGTTCAATCGTGTGACAGCTAAAACATCCATTGCATGTGTTTTTGCTGTGAACCAAAGTGTAAGAGTAGTTGTTTGTGTCAGACGTGGATGGAGCATTGATCGGTTTGGATAGAGCCATGGATGAGATGGAGCAGATATCTCAACACCATGACGACAACTCATGAACCTTCAGCCTCTCGTGTTCAAGGCGATGGATGAACCTTAACACTTCAATGGACTTGACTGAAATGGCATAATGACTGCTGCTAAAAATAGTTTCATAATTCGATGTAGATTTGAGAGAGGGAGGGAGGGGCATGGGGTGGGTGCTGTATGCAGATGCAAAGAAACAATATTTACATGCACACTTCTAAAGATGTAGTGGTAGGGAGAATATTCACCATATTTTGTACTGGCTTGTATTCACTTCTTACAGCTATAGCCTGGTAATCTGGCTTCCCTGTCAGCAGACTAATGGTATGCTGGTTGGCCCTCTGCCTTGGAAGAAAAGTGGAAGAGAGACTTGGCAAAAAGTGTCAAGGAGCAGCGTGGGGGAGGAAGGGAACTGAGGGAGAGGAGGGGGAGGGAGGGGGGGTAGGGTCGAAGCTACAGAGTTGAAATCATTTCAGATATAAACATAAAATGGTTAAATATTTGTATTGCCTGTTGCTTTTTGGATTTGACCACCTGACATAAGGACCAATCGATATATATATATAAGACAGAGTCAACGAGCAAACACAGAGCAGGAAGCACATCATGATTGGCTCTTCAGTTTGCACACTCAAAGTCATTCGTGCTGCAGAAGAACAGATGAAACGCTGAGAAGCTACCTGACTGAAAAACATGTGTCACATTCTTATTAACGTGTTGAGAACTTGCCTTCTTCTTTTGTGGTGGGTTGCTGGTGTGAGGAGGCGTTCCACTGTCCGGGTAGCCCCCCCCGTAGTGAGACTCGCCGTAGGGGGACATGGAGCCGGGGCCTGCGTCTCCCAGCAGCCCCTGGCCGCTGATAGAGCTGTGGAAGGACTCTGCCGGGGAAAAGCCTCCCTCTGACTGGGAGAGGTGGCGCTCGGGGGCCACGGGGTTCCCCAGGTTTGCGTTGAGGGGCGAGCAGGTGTATATGAGGTTGAACTCTGTCCTGAAGGCCTGCTCCCTGTTTTGTTGTGAGGTAAGGTCTGAGGGACAGGACGCAGGATTCAGGGAACAGGCCCCTACAGATGATTGGCCCTGCGAATCTGAAGGGCCTCCAGGAAGGGAAAAGTCATCGGAGGTCACAGCCACAGGGCTCTCCAGGCTGGAGGGGAGGGACAGGTCCGGGAACTGAGGCCGAGCGAGGTCAAAGTCTGTCTGGAGACACGGCTGCAGGTGGAGAGCAGAGAGGTGTAGGAGGGAGAGAGAGAGAGAGAGAGAGAGGACACACACAGTGATTAGACACAGCTGAGAAACAAGCAGCTAGAAGTAGCATTTAGCCGTTAGCCTCGGCAGCTAGGAGTTAGCTGCAGAGAGATGGGAGCGTACCTCAGGAGAGATGGACTCGGGCCGGTAAACAGGAGAGGCCTCAGGGGAAGATATGTTCTAGAGAGAAAATCAGAAGTTATTACAAATGTTAAACGCACAAGATGTCTGCTAAATATTAAATAGTCTAACACTGCCTGTAAATATAAAACGTGGTGCAATATACACTCATGTGCAATATATCCTATAGCAATTTACGCTTTCTTTTTCTTCCTATTTATTTACTATCTGTAAACAGTGCCTCTCTCTTATCTGTGTTTCCTTATCGTCTTATTAATAACATGTGCCTCCTTGAGTCTATTCTTTTTATTTGATCTGCACTATACTCCTGCCGTTTTAATACTGGGAATATTCCTGTTGCAGGACAATGAGAGAAATTCTGATTTGGACCGTTTGCTCAGTCACAGAACATTGATTTCATTGGTGTCGAATTTGAGCAGCTCACAGCATCCTTGTATTTCATCCAAAATGAAGATTTAATAACAACAAACATGAATTGTCTTAACACAGTGGTTTTTCTTCAATGATTAACAATGTTCTCCGAATATAATTTGGAATAGTTAAAAACATTGACTGTAGTCTATGGGATGTTGAATCACTGACCCTACTTTTAGACACACATGTTCACTTTTTAAATAGAGACTCTCATATTATTTACTATACATTGCTATCAGCTTGTTAGGTAGAAAAGACCTGCCATATTACCACAACCAAAAGGTCCATCTGTAGAGGTCATGGGGCTCAGGCCAAACCCTGGGATGGCTGACTTTAACACAGGGACTAAACTGGACTGACTAGGACATTTCAATGAGCCGTGACTGAAAGTGTTGGCGTGGCTGTTCTCTTACTTCAAACTGCAGGGGTGTGTTGCAGCGGCTGGCGGGCAGGGAGGGCATGGGGGAGAAGGCCAGGCCGTTAGGGAGCAGGGAGCCACAGGGGGTGAGGAGCTGCGAGTGGAGGGAGTCCTCTGGGAGCGGGGGAGAGATGGGGGACAGCGGGCGGAGCAGGTGGTCCGAGGGGGCGGGTGTCCTCTCTGCCATGAACTTGGAGCGGCGCTTCTTAAACGGTGCGTTGACATCTGTGATTTTAAAACAGGATATTTGAAAATATTACAAAGACTTATAAAAACAGGAAATAATAAACTACTAGTCACAAGGTCAGGTATAAAAATATGATGAAATATAAAATATACAATACTTTATCTACACTTTAATATGTTGTATTTTAGAAAGTTAAGTTAAGATCTATAGATATTGACACAAGTAAAGGAGTCATCAGATAGGGTTGTGTACATACCGCCGGACAGGGGGTTAGGGGTGGATCTGCTACTGGTGCTTTGCTGGGAGGAAGTGGACTCAGTACCGTCCTCCACACTGGCTGAGCAGCTCTCATCCTCCACCTGCTTTATCCACCTCTGCAGCAACACAACAGCAAAGTCAGGTTTCAAAACTAAGACTGAAACATCTGTTCAAAAGACATTCAAATATATTCAGCACATTTATCAACCCATTGCCTCAGAAAGCCTTGAGTTTTTATAAATAAATGACAGCATTTTAACATATTACAAGGTGATTTAAAGTCACATGTATTCATATTTCAGAGGTCATATACGCTTTATGACCAATCTAATGCATGCTGGCAAACCAGAAATACTGATTCTTTAACTGAAAAGAACCCAAAAGTAACAAAATAATGTGCGTAAAGATTTAAATATTAAAACATTGGATTCATGTTTAAATATTTTAAAATGCTTTTCAGATATATTTTTTTATAGTTTTACAACCGTAAGACAAGCTTGTAGAACTAGCAAGTGAGAGAAGCTAGAGAAGACAGCATTGATTATATGTGTTTATACTTTTCCTATAACGCTTGGCTGCATCTCTTACCTTCTTGTAGCAGCCATAAGTGCCGTCCATCTGGAGAGGGCGGGGTCGGCGCCTCTCGGGGTTGAAGGGGGAGCCGAAGCGGACGTAGTGTCTTGGGGCGGTGCAGATGAGCGATGAGTGGGAGAGGCCGGGCAGCATGTTGAGGGTGGTGGCCAGCACCGTGGGGTCAGTGGTGATCCGCAGCGGGCGCTCGACAGGCACGTCTTGGTGGACCTTCTCTGCTCCGGGGACCTTATCATTCAACCACTCAGTCACCAGGTACTGAGGGAGGACACAAATCTTAATAATTAGCTACTGTTACATTCACATTCATACTGTTATATCTATTTATTTATTTATACACCATACCCTGCTATTATATAAAACTGACTTACTTTTAGATTCATCATGCAGCAAATCGTGTGCTCATATTCTTGGACAGGATAATATATATAAAGCATGTCAGGTTTTATTTGTAAATGTTCTTATATGCTAGTTTTGATCTTATACGTTTGTATGTATGTATAATTTCTTATTTCTAGATGTTGATGAGAGCTGAATCTAACTATTTCATTGTACAGTGCAATTGCCTCTTATTCTGTTTATAAGACAATAAAATATCTTGAATTTCTGCATTTACTAGGAATACACAAAATGTGACATATGATAGAAGAAATCCTGAATTGACCACAGAAAAGACCCTAAAAGTCCTCTCACCTTCTTGGTCTTGGGGTAGCGCAGATTGCCTCTATTGATGCAGTTCAGACTGTCTCCATCGAGTAGATGCAGCCCGCTCTCTCCGTGGACGTGCTCAGCCCCGTACGGGCCCTGAGAGGCCTCGTCGTCCAGAGAGGCTCCCTGGTCAGCGGAGGCCGGCGTCGCTGCCATGGCTGCGGCCGCTGCAGCAGCTGCTGCTGCTAGCTGGGCGTTAGCCTGGCGCTGCCGCCGGGCACGCTGGGAGGAACTGGACCGGTAGCGAGAGATCCGACTTTTGGGCCGAGGCTTGTTGGGTCGTGCAGGTTTAGGGGGGGCGGGGGGAGCTGGCAGGGTGGGTGATGAGGTCTTTTCTTCTATAGATGGCACTTCCTGATAGAGAATGATCAAATTGAATAGAAAAATTAAATCAACACATAAAAAAAAAAAAAAAACACTGTCACACAGATGGTCACTGACCATGACATAGGAGGTGCGTCGTGTGCTGACCCCCACTCCAGTGTTGGGAGGGAGAGGAGTGTTCCCAGCAGGGTTTCCTGCCCCGTCCTCACTTTCCCCACCCTCCTCCTTCACCTCTGCTCCTCCCACTCTCTTACGCCTCCTCTCCACACTGTGACACGTCTACATGGACAGACACAGACGGTGTCAGAAAACCACCTTACACTTATCTTTAATACAACTGATGTATTGCTGGAACTGGAATGTATTGCCACAGATAAATACATATCTAGAAAAAGTCAGCTAAATTAGTAAAACGGCAGTATTAGAAAATAGTTAAAATGTCTTACTCTTTTATTGGAGATGGCAGCCCCATTTTCATCCACCTCTCCCTCCTCCACCTTCAGCTCATCCTGCAGTCTCTCCTAATATCAGACAGGCAGCACATGAGCAACACATTTGACCCAGCTTGGAATATTAGAAATGTTTCCTGCTTTTTAGAAACGTTGTCTCTTTGAGGCGACATTACTCTATCTTTGTACACACCTCTGTGTCGCTGGTCCCCTGCAGGTCTTTGGCCTCCTGGTGCTGGTCCAGGTTCTGGTTGCTGTCACCAGAGACGCAGCTCTCTATCTCTCTCCTCCGGGCTTTTCTCCGTCGGGTCTCAGCTCCAACCAGAGGGGTGGGGGGAGGCAGGGAGGGGCTGCTGAGCAAGTTCTCCCTTGGGCTCAGGTTGTGCTTCTGCACCGGGCAGTTCTGGTTGCCCTTATGGCAGGCACAGTCCACTTTGTAATTACTGTGGTTTGTTAGGAGAGAGAGAGAAGGTTGCATTAGAGAACAAAACAATGTTCTGAAGCAGCCAGTTACACTAGTACCCGCTTTGCAGCTGATTGAGCATGTGTTGTTTCTGAAGATTATGATGTTTCTCCACAGGACTTAGCCCACTTATACTTAATGTCAATGTTCAGATGGTGAGAATGAACCTGCGTTTGTTCTCGCCGATGCATGATTTTTAGTGGATGGTTAAAAGGCCTGTAGAGAGATAGGAATGGAGGAGCAGTACTGACCAGCTGTTAAAGTCGTAATCAAATCCAATGGTGACCTCAGCGTCCTTTGTGATGTGACTGACAGCGTAGATACACAGATGGATCATGCCGTCAGCAATCATATGCCGGACCTGGAGAAGGGAATCGATGCATCAGTTAAAAAGAGTCAACGATATCAACCTAATGAAACAGAAAGCCACAGAGAAAGGAAACAGCAGTGGCAGGAGTTGAGATTCTAAAGAACTTGTTGGCTGACCTCAGCGTTGGGTGTGCAGGACCTTCTGATGAAGCGGGCGTCATTCCCAAAGGTCCTTGCATCAACACACATCTCCGCACCATCAAACTTTGAGTAGAAGAGCACAAACGGGTAGGGTCTGGAAAAAACATGATGACAATGGCATCATCAGCGGTGAAACAACACAGCCTTTGTGTTTGGACCCAAACACTGAATGTATAAAGGGTTGCAGACCAGCTACAGCAATCCAATGATCTCTTACTTTCTGAAGAATTGCCCGTTGACTTCAAACTGCTGTTTGAGCATGACCTTCCCCCGATATTCAATGATGAGTGTGTCTGGCTCCAGGTGCTTGGCTGCGCGGAGGATCTTCCTGTGTTTCTGTACCCGAGTTACCCGCCCCAACTGGAGCTACAAACGGAAACCACAAAACAGTTATTTGCGACTGGACGTTTATGTTATTGTATATGGCATCAATACACAAATGTCTGGTTATATCCATGCAGGCAGAGCATGCCTGCAAACTTAGTAATCAAGATGTAATCAGACAACCTAAAATGATTCATGTTTAGTGCTAGGAAGAACTCACTCTTCCCTTATGATTTTCAGTCTAAGATCACTGAGTAATTGTTTATATAATGTGTTAGTCTGCATTTTTAAGTTCTGTTTCCCTCTTCTTGAAGTCAACATATTTTTGGTTGAAACCCTTGCAAAAAGGTCTGTTGTTAACCCACGTGTTTGAGCTTTTCATTTTTTGTTATACAAAATAAAATATGTCAGTAAATACCCCACTGGTGAATGTCTGAAACTTCTTAGTTTTAGCCTCCTTTGTTACAATTACGTGGAGACCTTAAGTATCTTAAACATGCCACAGATAAGTCCATTGGAAAACGAAATTGCTTTAAGTCAAAAGAGCCTTTGCAAAGCTAACTTTTGGGTCAGGCTACAAAATGATGTCGTCATCATTGCACCACTTCATGGCTCTTCGTTAATACTGGCCAGTGATGTCGCGTATTTTGCAAGGACAAGGCTGTTTCCCATGCATGCTTTGGGACATTAAGTTTGAATCAATATATTATTGGGTGGGGGCAGACCTGCATCTGTGAGCCCAGCACGGTGTTGTTGCAGGCCAGCTCTGTGCGGTTGATGGTGTCCATCGCATCGCCTGAGGCATGGAGCTGTGTGGTGCAGGGGGGGGTGGCGCTGCCGCTCTCCGCCTTAGACACGGTGTTGCTGGCGGCGCGGTGCAGCTCCAGCAGCGTCTGCACGTCAGCGCTGTACTGGTTGATCAGAGCCTCCTCGTACTGGTCCGTCCACTGGCGGATCCTGCTCTCCCAGCCCTCTGCTGTGTTCTCATCCAGCACACTGGCCTCCGTCGTGGAGTTCTACGAAGAACACAAGATGGGGAAGGATGTGTCAGAGGTTTCTCATTATATTTTATTGCTTGAATTGTTTATGAGGCATTACAATGTAAGACTGGTAAATGAACACTGAAAACTTTGTTTGCATTAAGTCATACTGGGATGTTTGCATGTGGCACAGCCCTCCCTAGAAAAGATTCCACCAGCCGCCACTGTACTTTCGGTATATTTTGATGCTAATCATTTTGTCCGTTTACTTGAGTAACATTTTGAATGCAGGACTTTTACCTGTAACAGAGTATTCCTACTCTCTGGTACTACTACTTTTACTCAAGTACAAGATGTGAGTATTTCTTCCACCTCTGTTTATAGAGCTGTGCTCTGAATAACCGAACAGCCCGTTCTAACAGTGCTCCGAGTTCACCAACGGTCCAGTATGGGCTGGAGTTCCACCGGGACACGGTGACTATAAACGAACACACCCCTAGTTAACGTAGCTGCTGAAGTTAGACCGCCATCCCTGAGCAGAATGTAGCTGACAGAGTAGACCGGAAGGCTCGAGCACAAAGTTTGCGCATCATTTTAAAAAATGACACCCTGCGAGTCATGATTGCATCGACATATTGGTTAACGCCAATCTTACCTTCATCCTCATGGACTTCCTGGAGCCCTCTCTGAAAGCCTGAAAGAAGGGTAATGAACCCATAAGTATTCAATGTCAATGTGACAAGCTTGTAACCAAAAACAACAGCTCCAAAGTGGGGTTTGAACTAAGTGTGTATCATTTCGATATATATCTTTCCTCTTCATCCACTCTGCTTCGCACAGTGTCATACCTTGACTTTTTTGCCCTTTGGCGTTCCATGCGCCTTCTCTGTGCTCTTCTTCCTTTTTTTGGATTTGCTCCTTTTGACCCGGTTGACAGTGAGTTTGATGCTGGTGGGCGTATGCTGGGTGGCGGTGTAAGAGACGGTGGAGGGCGACACCTCTTCGTCCCCACTCTCAGTAGCACTGCTCTCACCAGCTATCAAAAACAACCACAGATAGAACAAAACACAGTTATCAGATAGCACTTAAACTGTCATGGGGACATTCATTAACCAAAAAGGACAAAACAATGTACCTGAGACATTCTCAGTTTTTCTGTGTTGGCCGTCTGCTCCTTTCCTCCTGTCGAGTCCCCTGCCACTAAAATAGCAATAAAACACATCAGCACATAGTATACATGGGCCATAAGAGTGCAAAAGTCAAATCAATGCTATAATGCAAAGCATTAAATTGCTGAACAGACTCAAGGTTATTAGGAACTTATAAGGAACAGTAGGATATTTTTTTTGCAACTTAATTGTTGTATATCATGCTAAGAATATTTGTAAACTAGCCTTAAAAGTATTGGTAGGCAATCCTTATATTACCATCATTGCAACATATTATCAAAATAAAGTTGTATTTACTTAAGTCTACAAACTTACATTTTATAAATATGTTTTGTTTGACTATCAGTTCAGTGCTGAATGAATGACCTGAACCTCAAGGTCCCCTCCAAACCCAGACTCAAACCTTCCACTAAGGTGCCGTTACACACTCTACTTGAACAGAATGACACCCATTGAGCATTGGAATATATACTTGCAGTTGAAAGGACAAATGGAAAGAGGATGACTACATGAATACATGCTGAATTTTGAGCAATCACAGTTAAGGGATTTAATAGTGTTCTCACTTTCTAATAATTGTTTATTGTAATTGTTTAGTTGGACACAAACAAAAGCATGTTTTGTATAAAAATAATAAAGATTATCTATCTTCTGACACTGCTACAATCTGAACAGAGTGGGCTCTTATGAGGGATATAATAAAATGTGTGACATTTGACAATAAAATAATAGTGACCAGGATTTCGTATTGTTACTGCTTCTTTCAAAAGGAAGAAGTTTTGCTGCCCTAGTAGGTCCTATCTTGCACTTTATAGAGCTGGAAACTACGCTCCATGATCCGGTGTGGGCACTTCCTTCCCCCCCCTCACCTGCAGTTGTCACACTTGATGAGCAGGCCGTCGGGCGTCAGGCTGCAGTGACACCAGCTGGCCACAGCCCCCTCCTCCTCTGACGAGCTGTCGCTGTCCGCTGAGTTGTCCTCGATGGCGTCGTGGTAGCGGGAGCCGCGTACCACGCCGTTGAGATCCATGCGGGGAATGATGGTTTGGGAGAGCGGGGAGGCGGGTGGGGTAGGGGGAGGGGGCGCGCCATAGTTGTGATCCTGACAACACACAACGGAAGACTGTTGCATCTTCAAACAATGGGTGTTCAGGCAAAAAGGGAAACGGAAAATGGAGACGAATGAAAATGAGGGCAAAAAACAGGTATGTGAAACAGTACAGCTGTTAATAACAAAAGTAGTCTGTGGTTATAGAACGGGAAAGATACTCATGTCAGTGACCAAACTGCAAGCAACGCAGATTCTTATCTGAATCTTGACTGAATTACACAGAACTTGCAAATATTCGAAAAAAAGACAAGACTGGATAGATTTAACTGAGTTATTATTTTAGCTTAAAAAACGCTTATACTTGAAACTAACTTATATCTGACAGATAAGGAATAGTACATCCCATAGTAAGGCATGCCATAATCAGAATTGAACAATAGAGAAGAGCGGTATGAACTCACAGCATATGGTAGACCCCGATACCCATGACTCTGTGCACTCCCACAGCTGTGGTTGTAGTTTTTTTCATTCACAGCAGGGCTCGCTTCAACTGACTCAGGGCTGGGAAATAACCAACAGAAAAAGTGTTTTAGGGATTGAGGACAAAACTACATTTAAAATGTCATGTATTATACAGTATATTTTCCAGGTCTGTATGTCAACAACTGTAATAGTAAGACATCAAACAGTCAATAGATGGCAGCACAACCCTGAAGTAGCTCTTCAGCCTGGGAGAACCAATGTGGAAATGGAATGTGGGACGCCATTATGTCATGCAACTCATTCTGCTCTGTAGCTGAGGTCTGAGTGTATAACCTTGCATTTCCCCCCTTTCCCCCCAAATATATGACACTTAAATGTAAAAAATTTTTTTAAATCCCAATATTTTGTATTTCTAAGAAAAGATGTTGCATGTCCGCCTAGCGTTTGGAGGAAACAAAAGGGGGCTGTGAACAGGGGGAGTGGAGGGACTGCATTCCACACAACCTCAGTCTCATGTGAGCAGGTTGACCTGCAGAGGTGACTACTGTTCTTACTGTTGACATTTCCCCAGACACTACCACCACAAAGCTAGGGCCTGGGTGGAGATACAGGACTGTCTCAGAAAATTAGAATATTGTGATAAAGTTCTTTATTTTCTGTAATGCAATTAAAAAAACAAAAATGTCATACATTCTGGATTCATTACAAATCAACTGAAATATTGCAAGCCTTTTATTATTTTAATATTGCTGATTATGGCATACAGCTTAAGAAAACTCAAAAATCCTATCTCAAAAAATTAGAATAGTTCCTCAGACCAAGTAAAAAAAAAAGATTTATAACAGCAAAACACAATCAAACATTTGAAAATGTCCATTAATGCACTCAGTACTTGGTTGGGAATCCTTTTGCACGGATTACTGCATCAATGCGGCGTGGCATGGAGGCAATCAGCCTGTGGCATTGCTGAGGTGTTATGGATGCCCAGGATGCTTCAATAGCGGCCTTTAGCTCATTAGCATTGTTGGGTCTGGTGTCTTTCAGCTTCTTCTTCACAATACCCCACATATTCTCTATGGGGTTCAGGTCAGGGGAATTTGCAGGCCAATCGAGGACAGTAATGCCATGGTCAGTACACCAGTTACTGGTGGTTTTGGCACTGTGGGCAGGTGCCAGATCATGCTGGAAAATGAATTCCNGGAGAGGATGGAGAAGCGTGTCTCAGGGGGAAGGGAGGACTTGCCGGCCATCATAAGCAGAAACCTCCAACACACACACACACACACACACGCACACACACACACACACACACACACACACACACACACACACACACACACACACACACACACACACACACACACACACACACACACACACACACACACACACACACACACACACACACACACACACTCCTCATCTCTCCCCTGGCGCTGTGACTCATATAAAACTCATGTGAAGGCACAGATAAGGCCTTGTGTCTGCACATTACATCTCATGCCTGTGGTCACCCTGCACACATGTACCTGGCTGAAGGCTCCTTGCTGCGTACTAGTGTGACACATTTCCCCTTAAATATATGTAGCACTGAAAACCCAATAAATCCTGTTTACTGTGTGCTCTCGGCAGCTCAGGAGAGAAGGCATTGTTTAATGTTTGCTTGACGATGCAGCAATAATTGCGCGGGAGAAGATGCAAGCATGTTATTAATTGGATGAGATCCCTTGAATTGCAATTAATGCACAACCCTTAGCCAAATATCAGATGTGCGTTTAATCTACAGATTTATGTGTGAACGCAGCTGGCCATTAAGGTTCATCTTAATGCCACAACATTGAGACTGCAGTGCACATTTTTCCACAATACAATGCCCATATTGTGAAAGCCAGGTCCATAAAGTAATACTGCAGAGGCTGAGATACCAAGTTGGGAATCTAACGCCGGATTAAATCCAATGTCCAGGCAAGAGTATAAATACAATACTAAGAACAGCTGCTTTACTTTGTTCATGCCCTGCGGCTTGTCAAATTAAAACACATCTGCCTTTCCTGTGCCCAATCCTACCAATGCACTCTGATGCTGCCTTCAAAATAAAAACAACGACCCAAATGAACTTTCCATTATTATTATTGTTGTTGAACAGTTTGGTGTGGAAAGACTTCACAGGCTTGACTTCAAAATAGTAAAAAACTGGAAAGCCAACTCGACACGTTTGCCATAAATGCAACTCCAAATTGAGTATTTTAAAAACAAGGATTAAGCTTTGATTTCTTTGGAAGCATAAATAACATTATATACAGGTGTGATGTTCAGGTGTCCACATACGTTTGGCCATATAATGTAGTTGTGGTTTTATTTGCTGGGAATATACAGACTATGAAAGCTAGTATCCTTCTTTCATAGACTTCAAAGCCAGCAGAGGAGCGTGTTTTTTAATTGAAATGAACGAACCTTAAAATTATAAACATCACTGCTTTGCAATATGAAAAAAAGAATACGAGGATTTCTTTTATAATTCCACCCAAATGACTCCAAAGTCCCCTCTCCAGAACAACAGATCATGTTCACCCGGAGCATCATCAATCCCACCAACAACAGGCTAATGGGGGCTGGCTCATTTAGCTAACAGAGCTAAATGAGCTCGTCGGTTGCTCTGCTCTTGACGCCAGCTCACATCCATCACACGGAGAAAAAGCTTCATAACAGCTCCGAGACACAATCCCAGTAATGCTACCCATATGTCATCTTTCATTGCCTGCTCATTTAATACATATGTTACCCCTAAGTGGAGTTTGGAAGAATATTGTGGCAGCTAATTGAGTGAATATTTAAATTTGAGAATAAAAACCGGGGATAAATGCAGTTTCTGTATGGAAACACATGCCAGGCAGGATGAGTGAATGTCATCAAGATGGCTCCATTGTTCTTCTTCTTTGTTATGTGGTGACATTGAAACGTGGCTGATTTTTTTGTATCACTTGTCCTCCCGCAGTCTGTTAAATGAGCCGCTCTTAAGCACTGTTTACTTCCAGCCACATCTAGACCATAATTGCATCTCCAGCCGGGAAAAACAGCATTTTGAGTCCTTTGTGTGCATCTGTTTTTTATTCTTCTTTTTTTCTGGAAGGACCTTTTCTGTGCTTTGCAGTTACCTTGTTACCGTGGCAACTAAAGTTCAAGTCCAGTATGAAGCAATATGAATATGAAGCTCTTGCAGTATACTAATTTATATAAATAGTTATCACCGCAATAAACCGTATTTAATTGTGTCTTAATTTACATTTAATTTAATATTCTGTTCTTGAACATATCATATTCCATTGAAATGTAAATAGACTTTTTGCAATACTTTTTCATTTGTATTTTATTATATATGTTGCTTTGTTGGAGGAGCTCAGGTCAGAAGAATTTCAGTGCCATTTCTAAACGGTAGCTTTGTGCATATGACAAACAAAACCTTTGAATTTGAATTTGAATGTGAAGCACGAGATATTTTTATATTTTTATAAGATGTTTTCCTGCTAATAAATATGGTGGCCGACGACAGCAAACGAGCTTCAACAGCCCAAAACACGATGCACATATAAAACACAAATGTGCCAAAACTCATGCAAATGAAGAAACTAACTTACAAAACGTCTAACAACTTCACGAAACATGTGCAGCATTGACTAAAAGCTCTGCATGAACGAAATGCTGCCGATACAAAACATTACATGTCACCTGTTAGACATTTTTATCTAAAGTGACCTACATACATTCAGTACTGTGGACAATCCCCACAGGAGCACTTTGGGGTGAAGTGTCTCAGGGACACAACGCCATGCTGACTGCAGTGGGACTCAAACTTGCTACCCCCTGATTCAAAGTTCAGTGCACTATCTACTGAGCCACCGTCTCCTTACGTTGCATAGAGCTTACAAAATTACGGAAACAAGGGGACTTTAAAAAGTGTCGCACACAGTTGGGACCGGAGCGCTTGATGATTATTAATTATTATTAAAGTTGGCTACTGTTGGCAGAGTTAGTCTGTTTTTATAATTGTAATTGTTTTGACTGTATATATAGTTTAGCTTTGTTAGCTAGCTAGCTTACAACAGTTCTCCAATAACATTAGAAGGAATCACATTGTTAAAATAAGCCAACAAACGTAATCTCTTGCTACGTTTCCAACAACAGATCCAGGTGGCAAACTTCATAATCTCCGAATGTCACCAAGCGCTCGGGTCCCAGCTGTGAGCGTCACTTTTTAGCTTCCCCTGGCTTCCTTTGAGTTTTGAGCGTTGGTGAAGATGTTACTTCATTTACATGTTTTTAGCACATTTGTGTTTCTATATTTACGTCGTTTCTGAAAGTGCAGCAGTGTTTTGGGCCGTTGAAGCGTGTTCTCCCCGGTCGGCCACCGTATATAAGTACATAAAAGTCCAATATACTTTTACATGTAAGACGTATATACTGGTTCTGTCACACTCCACTGTACAAAAACCAACAAACAAACTTTTAAATGGGACATTGGTTTGTTGTTGTTGACACATCACTCATTCTGTGTTGATTTTATGGGCTTATTTTACTCAGACAGGTTTATTAATGAAATGATGAATAATGAATTAGAGCCTCAGTGTTTTATTTCTTTGTATTTGTGTTTCCCACCTTCTAAAAGACTAAAATCGGTTTTGATCAGTCAGTCTGTTAACTCCGGTCACTGGAGGCTCTCTGGCTCGTTGGTGTTTTTCTGTTGAAAGGGAACGACTGAGGAGAGCGTCAGCCTGTGAAGAAGTTGTGTAATGTCTTCAGGTGCTTTGGGAACTTACAAAACAACTGTCATGGGGTTATCTTGGCCGAGGTGTCAGCACACAATACTTTTGTTTGTATTAGATACAGTCAATTAAGTGAATCAGTTCCACCTTTACCAGCTTGATAAACACAGACTTTGAAATCTGCATAATGAGTACTTTTACTTTTGGTACTTTAAGTCCATTTAGATGCCAATACTTTTTATTTTTACTTCAGTAACATCTGGCTTGTACTTGTAACAGAGTATTCCTACACTTTGGTATTTCTTATTTAACTTTGAAGTACAAGTTCTGAGTACTTCTTCCACCTTTACCAGCTTGATAAACACAGACTGTGAAATTGACCAATATGCATAATGAGTACTTTTGGTACTTTACGTATATTTACTGTAGATGCCAATACTTTTGTACTTTTGAATACAGGACTTTTACTAACAGAGTATTCCTACACTTTGGTATTTCTAATTTAACTTTTAATTACAAGATCTGAGTACTTCTTCCAGCTCATCCTCATGTGTGTCTTCACCTTTATTAACCCATAGCCCCGCCTCTCTCTCTGCATCATGTGACCGCTGTGGTGGGAAGTAGAGGAGTACAAATACTGCGTTACTGTACTTAAGTACATTTTTCTGGTATCAGTACTTTACTCCTCTACTTACTTTTTACTTTGACTTCTTACATGTTGAACCCAAATACCTGTACTTTCTACTTCTTACATGTTGAACTCAAATACCTGTACTTTCTACTTCTTACATGTTGAACTCAAATACCTGTACTTTCTACTTCTTACATGTTGAACTCAAATACCTGTACTTTCTACTTCTTACATGTTGAACTCAAATACCTGTACTTTCTACTTCTTACATGTTGAACCCAAATACCTGTACTTTCTACTTCTTACATGTTGAACTCAAATACCTGTACTTTCTACTTCTTACATGTTGAACTCAAATACCTGTACTTTCTACTTCTTACATGTTGAACCCAAATACCTGTACTTTCTACTTCTCACATGTTGAACTCAAATACCTGTACTTTCTACTTCTTACATGTTGAACCCAAATACCTGTACTTTCTACTTCTCACATGTTGAACTCAAATACCTGTACTTTCTACTTCTTACATGTTGAACACAAATACCTGTACTTTCTACTTCTTACATGTTGAACCCAAATACCTGTACTTTCTACTTCTCTCATTTCCCAAACAGGCTGGTTCCTTTAGTCTGAATGTGTGTTTGGTGGCGTGATCATTATTATTTAGAGTCATTGCGTGCCTATTGATTTGAACACGATCCGTGTATCCATCATTTCCTGGTCTTCTCTAAAGAAGAGGGACCAATGGAAACGTTGTCATGTTGCCGTTGTTCAGCATGCACTTACTGAAGGAGAAGGAGGAGAAGGAGTAGGAGTGAGGAGAGGAAGTAGTCAAAGCGGAGGAGACCAAACTTCTAGCACAACGACGGGAGGAGAAGTAGTAGAAAGTAGTAGAAGGACAGCGGAGAGGTGCGACACCTGACTGAAGGAGAGGAAGTAGAAGTAGTAGAAGACGAGCGGGAAGGGTGCCGACACTGACTGAAGGAGAAGGAAAGAACGTAGAAAGTAGTAGAAGTAGTAGAACGCAGTGGCAAGAGGTGCGAGCACACCGCGGACTGCATTCAAGAAGAAGGAGGAGCCAGCAGCGACGTGAAGACGTGAAGATGAGAGGAGGGCCGGAGAAGGAGAGAGACGGAGGACTGAACGCAAAGGAACGGAAGGAAGTCCTGAGACGTCCCTACTACAACTACGAGTGCCGACTAACGACACATATCGAGAAGTCGCGACTCTGAGTCTGACGCGAGGAGGAACCGAGAGACCTGCGGTGGACCACGGCTAGTCGGTCGCGGTGACGCGACTGCCTCCGCGCCGAGGATCGCTCGCGTCCGGGGGGTCGAAACTGCGGAGTAGCTCAAGGGAGGGGTTGAAGGCGGAAATAGAGGCAGGAGGAAAACCAAAAAAAAGAGTCCGCAAGAATCTAAAGAAGCGTATTCGAAGAAATCTAACGCCTAGGACGTGGAGGGCTATCTGGGAGGGAGGAGTAAGTCTACTAGGCCTCACACACAACTCTCGACCTGTTGAGCACCGTGGCGCTACCCAAACGGGAAACCACTGCCGAAATTACGAACGAGAGAACTTAAAGGACTACAAGTCCCGAGAAGGCACCGGCTGGAGGGTAGTCGCCACAAGGGGGGCGCTCAGCGGCAGCTCTGCCGACATGAACGCCCTGCGGGCCGGGGAAGGATTACAGGCGCTCACGAAGAACAAAATGGCCCGAGAGACGGGTCGAGAGGTACCGGTCCTGGTCCAAGAGGGACCAAGACCTGACTCTCATCAGGGGCCGCAAGGAGTCGTCGAGGGTCGACCCATGCTTGCGGGGCCGCTCCCTCTTTGGCGAAGAACGGAGAGTGGCTCTTCTCTTTTGCTGATGAGTGAGCATTAGACGTAGAAATCTCGGGAGATGGGAAGGGCGGGATAGGCGAGTCTTTCGTCGGCATCCTCTTTCTCCGGTACGCGAATCCATCTCGCTCTCTCTGTAAACGTCCTTTGTCTCCTGTCCTCCTTTCCGTCTCTCCTCTTCATTTGTAGGAAGTGAGTTCGGTCTTCATTTCTCCGAGAACTTACGAATGAAGTCATTTTTTCGATGGGTATTGACTCGGTCGAAAAATTCTCGATGGACTAGGAGCGCGGCGACAACGTAGTATAGAGCTGTGTTAGTTAAGTAGACACCATCGATGTGNTGTATATCAGTATGTAGTGTCTCTACTTTAAAGAGTCCTCTCCTGCTGATGTTCAGGTGTATATCAGTATGTAGTGTCTCTACTTTAAAGAGTCCTCTCCTGCTGATGTTCAGGTGTATATCAGTATGTAGTGTCTCTACTTTAAAGAGTCCTCTCCTGCTGATGTTCAGGTGTATATCAGTATGTAGTGTCTCTATTTTAAAGAGTCCTCTCCTGCTGATGTTCAGGTGTATATCAGTATGGAGAGGACTCTTGTTGTGAACTAACCGATAAGTTGAGTGCTATGGAACTCTCCAAACTTGGCAGGTAAAGCAGTGAAACCTTCAATTCCCTTTTAATTTATTTGGATGAACCACTTCCGTAAGACAAAATGGAAGTATTGGCAGAGATGTTTTAAGTGCCCTGAACTCTCACATCGCATTCAAATATCTGAGAGACCCTCTCTTTATATTTGCTCTGAGCACCACGTCAACCTTGAAATGCTCTTTGATGAATTGTCGTGCTGACAGCTGCAGCCGTGCTGAAATGTATATCGTCTCTCAGCACTCAGAGTCTGTGCCAGCGTCCGTATCATTTCCATATAGATGGTCTCTGACTTCTCACCCTGATCTGCCCTTTAGGTGTCCATGAATTGCGACTATGTGTTCGTCAACGGGAAGGAGACGCGGGGGTCCATGAGCGCCAGGGTGATCTTCAGCTACGAGCACCTGAGCGCGCCGCTGGAGCTGACCGTCTGGGTGCCGAAACTCCCCCTGCAGGTGGAGCTGTCCGACAACAACCTGAGCTTCATCAGAGGCTGGAGGGTCCCCATCCTGCCCGACAGGAGGTGAGGATCAATACAAACTCAGATAGTATAGCATGCATGCAATGTTGCTGAAAGAAATTACAGTTTTTGGCAGATTTGGCCATTATTCCTGCGCAAAAATTTAAAGGAAATTTCAATGAAATTATTGTTTTAAGTGGGAATAAAGTGTGCATTGGAGTTAATGCCGATTTAATTTCCTTTTCCTTAAATGAATGTATGTATAGCACTATCAGACAGAATTACATTTTCTACCTAATCCGGGGTGTCGGAGCCAAAATGCTTATTGTTTGTCATTACCATTATTTGTTGACACGGCACACAGTTGTAATTGGTCACCTTCAGGAAGTATATTCATGGGTGTGGTTTAAGGTATTTAATCCACCTGTTTTTTGGTGTGGAAAGACAGAGAGTGAGCTGGATATTTTTATGTTGATCGTATTGTCCCACTTTAGTTATTCGTTGAATTTTAACTAGACTGCTTATTTGGGAACAAGCCACAGTGCCGAGCCAAGTCTCAGCGACATTATTCATTGGGAATTTTTACGCTACAGCTGGGTTTTGGGGGGTTATTTCCTTGTCTGTAACAAATTAGTTCTTGTGCCGTATACACTGTTAAGCCACCTCAGAATGTGTATCAAATCAAATCAAGTTTTATTTATATAGCACATTTTTTAAAACGATTTTCGGTCGAGCCAAAGTGCTGTACATACAATAATGACCTTACAGTAAGGACACTATACAGCAAATACGTGGTGGCTACATGAAAAACACTTGATTGATGTATTAATCAAAAAACATTCTAAGAACTGTAAAGGTATAACCCAAATGTTCTATTCATCAGAGCTGGAAAAAAGGCTTTCCTTATCTTTGAACAACCGTAATAACTGTATTTGTATTTTTGAATTTTTGAGTTGGTGTAACAACACCTCAAGTCCAAACTAAAAACAAACACGGCAGAAGTTTTGAGTTTAACCCCGGGTGAGACCAACTTTTAAACTCTGTAGATTTAATTTAATGGCATGTTGAAAGGTAGCATCATCTTTCTTAAATATACCCTGAGCCAGACTGTGTTAGGTTCTGTGGATTTTTTCCTCGTTTTATTTCTGGACATAATTACCAGAGCACTCATTATCCAAAGAGCATGAACCCCCGCAGTCTCCAACATCAGAAACTAAAAAGCTGCCGGCCGCCTCTCTGTTTCCCTGAATTATATGTGAAGCTGCTTTTTTTCGTCCAATTAGACGCTCCGGCTCGGGTTCAGCAGGAACGAACACTACAAAATGAGGCTCTCAAGTGAAAATTGATCTATAGGGTGGTGATGTTTGTGTCATCAGAACCAATTTTGTACAACAAGTCCAAGACACAGAAGTAATTTGACTTGTTTGTGCAGAGAAAGGTTGAATCTCAGTTGTGCTTTCAGAAAGATAATGATGTTCTGTGACTAACAAGCAGGGGTGTTTCTCAAAATGAGTCATGGGTTCATCATTTATTTATTTTTGTACATTTACTTCAACCAGTCAGAATACTGTATTTATCCCTGGGGGAGCATTGGGTTGTTAACAGTTCCTCCGTTTAGAATAAAATCCAATATGTATACACACATAAGAATTTAGAGTAAGATTGTGCAAAGACAGATAAGATCAAATATAATATCAGTATGTACATAAACATAAGGAGTTAAATAGAAATGTAATAAATGTTTCATACAAAATATAAACTATAAAAGTGAATTAAAGGATAAAATAAAAATAAAGTAGAAAAATTATATTTGCATTATTATTTAATTTGCAGTAAAAGATCAAATCAAATAGAAAATAAAAATATTTCTAAAAACAAAATAAGTAAAAAAAAAAACATTACCTGGAATAACAATATTTATTAAACTGTAATAAGTTGGAAACAATATTACAAATATTTATATTAACAAAGAAATAAATAAAAAATGTTGAATAAAAGAGAACATTTTAATACAAATTAAGTACAATAACATGATTTACATTAATATAAAAAGTTAATGTGCAATTAAGAAAATGAATATTTATATAAACATACATTTAGAGGGTGAAGTTAAAAAAGTGCAACAAAAAGATCAAATAAAATAATATAGAGCAGTGTTTCTCAACTGGTGGGTCGCGACCCAAAAGTGGATGCATGCAGTCGGCGTTGGACTGGAAGTACCGGAGACCATAAACGGTTTTGAAAACTTCACGTAGTGATCATCTTCTCAATAAAACATCTTTGCTGATGTTTTTTCGAGTCTTCTGGCCAATCAGAATCAAGATAGTTGCCGGAAGTCCACACGGAGAATAACTTTGCGGTAGAACTCTTCTTTATACATCCATGGGTACAACTTCAGATACAAAGAACACGTAATGAAATATGACCCCCGGTCTGATGATTGACAGGTCACAGAACAATGGGGGCTATCTACCCTTACCCACAATTTAAAGTAAGTCACACGTCATCTCCTCTTTACTCTTCTATCTGTGTGGAGCAGCAAGCTGTCAGAACTAAGTGAAAAACAAACAATGGCATCAAATATTATGAATATGTCGGGTAGTAATAGATTTAGGGAGTATCCCCCCAGACCCCCCAGCTGGGGATGGGTTTTCAGCACGTGTTATACAGTTCAGCTTTGATTCCATCATCTCATTAAACCTTATTTTAAAGCATGCTTTGGTTCTGTGAAAGGATATATGCACTGTACTTCACTTTAACTAATATTGTATGCTGAAAAGCGTATATTTTAATGCACGATTTTTTGTTGAATAGATTTGAGTGGTTCAAAATGTTGGGTCGCGATGTATTGACAAAGGAAAAAGTGGGTCCTGAGGCCGGACCAGTTGAGAACCACTGATATCGAGCACAAATGCATGAAGCTAATGTAAAAACGTGCACATCTTTCAAAGTTGAACAAATATAAATATGTTAAAATGTATATCTTTACAATAGATTGAGTGATATTAATGCAGAATTGCACATTTAGAGTGTTTTAGCTGCTGATTTTAAGAGTCCAGCTTCAACCTATTGACTCGTATTACATGCAGGTATTATTTTAAATGATCCCTTTCTCCACACTTATTCACATTCTGTAACGCTCCC